TTTCTGGTGGATTCTATCTTTACATTTAGAGAAATAATTATCATGCAGTGTATGATATTAAATTATTTTACTATGTTGTACACAATTAGAATAACTTCAAAATTACATAATGTTTTAAATTAAAAAAGAAACTTCTTTAATAATAATAAATATAAATATTTTGTTACAGATTTCTTTATCTTATATTTAAAGATGTCAATGAATAAATACAGCTCTCTTAATTAGCAAATGTGCTTCTACAACTAATACATAGGAGAAAATTAGATGATTTGAGATAATAAGAAATTAAATATATTTCTTCAGTTCAACTCATAGAGTTTCCTATCCTGATCATTTAAATGTATTGTATACATGTAATTGTGAACTCTACATGGATAATTTACTACTTAGGATTATAAATAGGGAAGAAAATTTGTCTTAATATCAAGCTAGAAAATTAACTTTGTTTCCCAACCAAAAATCTTCCATAATTTTAAGACAAATGTCAAACAACTTTTATATTATGGTCTACTCTGTGGAAGTTAATACACTCTGACAGTGAAAGATAATTTTACCTAATGTCTATAAATCATTCCATTTTCTTCTTTATAATTTTCAACTAAGTAGGGAAATCCTGAAGATGTAACAGTGTACATTTCCACAGACTATTTTCGTTTTAATTTTGCTTTTGAAATTTTGCTTTTGGGAACCAAGATAATTTCTTCTTAGGTCATCAATACTTGACCCACCGTAATGATAATTGCTGTTGTATCTGCTGCTGTTGCTATTGCTGTTTCTCCTTTCCTGGCTAGTGGATTCCTATAGGAAAGCAATGTATAAAGATGCCATGGTTGTAACTAACAATTATGTAGTCATTAGTTAGTTACTACTTTCTATTGTAGAAAATGAATTTTGATTCTAATTTGCTTACAATTATTTACATATTCTATTGCAGTTATGTTTGGTTTATTTTGGAGCAGTAACATTAAAAAATTAGAGTGACTCTGTGATCAAATTATCAGACACTTACATATTTTCCTACTTAAAATAATTATTAGCTTTTCTCCCTACATCAAAGTTTATATGGACTAGATGAAACTCAGTAAAAGGACTTTTTCCTGTTAATTGATATTACCTGACATCTTTGACTTTAATGCTAGAAAATAAAAGCAGTTTGTAATGTGTCCAGAATTGCCTTTTCTTTTGCTTACAGAGCACTTAAGTGTCATGTTAAGCCTGAGGCAGATCTGTCTAGAATTGTGTTTACTGTATTCCTTTCAAAATGCAGCACAGAATCTTATCACTTATCAGTGCATAAAGTCTAACAGATTGCAGACTCAAATTTCCCCTTCCAGGCAATGTTGGGTTTCACTATTGTTTGCCTTGACAAAGGTTTTCATGAATTCTGCAGCTTGGATTTCTGTCTTGTTTTCCTTAGCATAACCCTCTAGGCGACCAATCAGCATTTTTCAGCTTCCAGAAATTGCTGAAAATGTTACTACAAAAGCTGCACTTTAAAATTCCATGTCTTTCTTTTGATTTTTTTTTTTTTGAAGTTATGTGGGTAGTTTCAGTCATATTAGAAAGAAAATGCAATTAAACATTGTCTGCAGATGATGCTACTGTAAATGAGGTTGCCTGAATTTGGTGAAAGCAAATATATTCACAATTCACATTTAGGTGCAATTTTAGAACTACAGCAAGACGGAACCATCTTGGTTATGTACAAATTTAACTGGGTTGACTTTTTTTTAAATGTCAAAACCATCCATGCATTACTGCTTTCAGATAACTTAAAGTCAGTGCCGATGTATCAACTGTGAACCCAAAGAGTTTCTCAGGGCCTCAGAAAATAATTTCTGTCCTTCTCATTGGAGACTCAACTTCAGTTTTTAAATGTGACTCAAACTGGATGATAATGGAATTTTTTTTATTGACTGAATCACTATTTTCATTCCACTCATATATCCAGGTTTTACCACACCCTGTGGAATTGATCCCCTGTTATTTCAGTAATCTATCTCATACATATTGACCTCCTTCATGCCAGTCTCATGACTAAGTCACTTTCATTTCCAAATCACCTCCACACTGCTCTAAGAGCATGCCTTAGATCCCTAATTGGATCATATCATTGCCTTAAAAATCTCTCAATGACACATTGTCTTCCACATCACCAAAACAACACCTCTTAGGATGGAACATGACTTCATGATTAGACTCTGCCAATGTTTCTAATTTTGAAATTACCTCCCATAGTGTCTTCTTAGCCAGCTCTGCTAATACAAAAGAAATATGCTTTTCTCCAGTGATATTAACTTCTTTTTACCCTTTGCACGTGCTTTTGTTCATTTGTCCAGAAATGATCATCCTTTACTGCCTGACACCCTTATTGCCTCCTATTTATATACTGTTTCAATTCTATTGATATTGCCTGTGAGGAACCTTCAGTAATCTATATATAGCAAATAGAATTTAATACATGTGTTTGTTAGGTACATAAATAATGGAAGTAGTTGCACATTATAAATAAATTTTAGAAAACTTTGACATCCCTGCTCCACGCATTACTGTAACAATGTCCTAGACATTCTTTACTCGTACAATCGTTCATTGCAGAACTATTTATTGAGGACCTCCTCACATAAGTCCGTGTAACTATTAAAATGCTGTGTTTATAGGTGTGTGTAGCGGTGATGGGAAATAAAATTAAATATAATGTTATCTTCTATGGACCTACAGTCAACATTATTTTAAGGCTATTTTCAATCCTTGTGTCATCATAGTAGAAAGAATTGAAATAGAAGCACCATAAAAGTGCCTTTCCCTACACACACACACACACACACACACAATGAAAAAGCTATTCATTGCTAAATTCTAAATAATGACTGAAAATATACAGTCTTAAAAATTAAGGAGAAAATCCAAAGCCAGAGTGATAAAAAGAAGGCTAAAACTTCAGTAGCCCTTTGAGATGGGCTTGGAAGAGGCTCAGGATCTGAGCACTAAGATTTCAGTTCTAATGACCATGCCAGTGAGGAGACATGACCACAGTTTTGAAAAGTGGGTCTCTGCATAAACTCTAAAGTTCTGACATGCATCTTTTCTCAGATGCTAGAAATATCCATATATCGGTGGAATGAAGAATTGGGAAAGTTTATAGTTAATCTGTGAAAACTATTTGAGGACTAAAAATAGCTTATGGGCAACTTCTTAGAAGACCAAAAATAAAAGAGTAGGAAAAGGACTAATCAAAGAGTTAATGCCAATTTTTTCCCCATAATTAAAGGAATATAATTGTTTAATTTGAAAGATCAGTTCTGAGCAAGATAAAAACAATTGATGTTATGATTCTGTAGCTAGCAAAACCAAAATCTTGCAAGCAACAAAAAGACAAATTTACCCTCAATAAAGCAGAGCTAGACTTCTCTATAATTTTCTAACCAATGATAGCAGATGCTAAAAGAAAATTACTAACATCTAGAATTTTCTGTCTATCCAGACTCTTATTATATGAGAAAGTGAAACAGACTTTTTGCAAAAAAGACTAAAAGTTTGCATTCATAAATATATATGTGTATATATATGTGTGTATATATATATATATAACCTCTTTAATATTTAAATACTTTTCAGGGGAAAATATTTTAATTATGTTTTTAAAATTATAAAGTTAACTTTTTACTTTGATTTACAATATTGTATATATATATTTGTATGTATGTCAGTGTATCTGGAGAAGACAGGTTTATTATACAAAGGGAGAGAAGAGTAAAGGACAATTGCATAAACACAAGCAGGCAGAGAGAAAGCTGCCCCTGAAAGGGACAGGTTTGTTTAAAAGAGGCCTGCATGGTCACAGGTGGGCGGTCTTGGGAGGAGAGCTGCTTCTGCTGCTTTGCAAAAGAAGGCTGGCTCAGAGGAGCACCTGCATAGGCACAGGCAGGCAGGAGGGCTGCTGCAAAAGATTACATTCTTATGAGCTTGAAATAATTGAAAAAATAATTCATATAGTTTTTTAATAAGAGGATATAGTTTTAATTTATAATTTATCTTTTAGAATATGAATCATATCTATTTATTTTATTATCACTTGCTTATATAGATGATGTAAATTAAGTTTAAAAAAGCAACTCCTCGGGCCTCCCCGTGGTGCAACGGTTGAGCGCTGGGTTGCTAAGCTGCCTGCAGCCTCTGCAGCGCTGGTTCGATCCTCGGCTGCTCCCCAGCCACTGGAGGAGGGTCCCGACCGCTGCTCCCCTCAGCAGTGTACTTCGGTCCTTCTGCCTGCTCTGCTCCCCACTCTGGCTCTGGTGAATTCTCTCACCTCCCACACTTCTGACTGTACCCAATGCTTATATAAATAAATAAATAAATCTAAAAAAAAAAAAAAGCTTTAAAAAAAAAAAAGCAACTCCTAACTAGTTGTAGAAAGTATAAAAGCCTCAGGCTTATAATGAAGATAGGATTAGTGAGATTTAATTAGTATCTCTTTAATCTCAAATACATTTGGGGGCGAAGATATTTTAATTATGTTTTTTAAAATTATCATTGTTTTCACCTTTTTCTTTGGTATATAATTTTCTGAACTATAACAGGTGAACAGACTTATGTAACCACAACCACAAACAAGACAGACAATAGTTCCACCATGCAAAAATCTCCCTAATGCTAATCCTTTACAGTCAAGTTCCCTTCCACTCATAAAACCTGGAACCAATGATGGGTTCTCCATCTATGTAGTTTTATTTTTCAATTATGTCATATCAGTGAAATAATACAGTACATAAGCTTTTGTGACTGGCTTATTTTCGAAGATTCATTCAAATTGCGTATTTCAATTGTCCATTGTTTTTACTGTGAATATTATTCCATTGTATGCAAGTATCATAGTTTGTTTGTCCATTCACCTACTAAAGAACAGTTAAGTTGTTGCCAGTTTTTGATTATTATAGATCAAACTGCTATGAGCATTTGTGCACAGACTTTAGTGTAAACACAAGTTTTTCTTTTTCTAGGATAAATACCCAGGAGTTAGAGCTCTGGATCATGTGGTAAGTGTATGTTTATCTTTTTAAGAAACTGTCAAATCTTTTCCACTTGCCTATAAAACTTAATGTTGTACCAGAGATTGATGAGAATTTCAACTGAAATGTTCCATAGTTTAAAATTAACCACTCTAATAGGTAGTGATATGATATGATAATTTTAATGTGCCATTCCTTATATTTCTTTTTTTATCCTCTTGGGTTTTTACTTTATTTTCACTTTAAGAAACTGCATTCTGTTGTGTAAAGGATAGAGGTTTTGGAATTAGATATACACATGTTTGAACCCTTGGGTTGTTTACTTTTTTACTTCGATAACTTTCACATGTATTTTGGGTTGAATTGTGACTTTCCACAATTTAATGTTAATGTACTAACCCCATACCTTACTTAGAATGTGGCCTTATTTGGAGGTGAGGTCTTTACAGACATAGTCAAGTTAAAATAAAGTAATCAAGGTGTGCCCTAATCCAGTATGACCAATGTCCTTGTACCAAGAGGAAATTGGGACAGATATCAACAAAGGGAAGACAATGTGAGGAACTAGGGAGAAGTTGGGAGGGAGGTCTGGAACAGATCTAGCCTCACAGTCCTCAGAAGGAAAAAGCTCTGCCTACACCTTGATTTTGAACATTGTATTTCCAAAACTGAACTTTTTGTTCCCTTTTTATAATAAATCCCCCCAGTTTGAAAATTTGTCACAGCAGCTCTAGAAAAGTATGGATGTGAAATTACCTGGAGTTTAGTAAAAATGAGGGCTATGGGCCTTCCCATGAACATTGATAATTGTGTATATATGGAATTGGTAGTAAGCTATAAAGCATCACTTACTTCCCTCAGGTTTGTATATTTAGGAAATGTAAAGGGTAGGAGTCAACACGTAAAGTCTCCTATATTACAAATTAGGAATCATGGCTAAAATCTTGACCATAATCCTAAAAATCCTTAATATTAATTCAAAGAAATTTAAATTATTTTAATATGATTATTTAGATATTTAATATGGTAAGCTTGACATACTTTGTTAGATACATTTTTAGTCTATTTTATAGTTTAATGTGCATGATTTGGTGGGAGGAAATGCTCACTCCAGCCTACTGCAACACAAGAGAATAAGGAAATGTAAACACATGTGCTCTGCTTGTTGCTTTATCTAATCATGCTTTTAGAAAAGAGATCAAGGCAAAACTAAGCAATGTAAATCAGTGGCAACATAATAGTTTTAACCTTTTATTTCCCCTTTTTTTACCATTGCTTCAATTCTTAGAAATTCAGAGTTTCTTTAAGAATGCAATGAAAATAGCCTCTTCCGAGAATATAAAATATTAAGACATCTATTTTCATTTTTATTCAAAAATTGTGCTAGACAGACATCTCCAAATTTCAAAATTGCTAAGTAGAAAAAAATTTCAAAAAGAGTCTAACAATTAGAGTGAAAAACAGGCTATTTTATCTTCCATACCTTTTATTACTCATCCTCTTTCCTTCAGTTGCTGTTTGAAAACCCAAATGTAATCCCCTTTTTATGGTAGATACTCGGTTTACAGAGGACTTTCAGATGCTATTAAAAGTCAGAGGTTAAAAAGAAGTCTTAAATCACTAGATACACAGCCCCAGATTAAGGAGTTGAACAAATGTACAAATGTTTACATGGTATTCCAGGTCTACTTGACCATACAACTTGTATCTCTCTCAGCTCCTGATCTTAAAAAGATAACTTTTCTCCATATTTTCCTCATATATATTAATAGTATTATACATTCATTCATGATTAATATATTTTAAATATTTCAAGGGGAGTAAATAAGTGTGAAAATCATGTGATCATTTCATCATACTCTTTGAAATAAATATTTAAGCATTTTTATTTTATATTTCAGAAACACCATTTTATTAACTTAAAATTTATCAGTGTCTATATGTCATTACTGCTAAGATGTAGTTTATATAGACAGTACATATGAAACTATTTTTTAAAATATAGGAAATATTTTAATGAAAATATATGGGTACCTGTAAAGAACAGAAGTCATGAGTTTTACATTTTGCAGTCTTGTATTTCTACCATTAAATTTAAAATTGTTGGGATGGCTCATTGCATTAGAACTTACTTCAACCTGTGATTTGCTCTCTTTTTGTTGCTGTTTCCTTTATTAACTTAAAATTTCCAAGCTGAGATAAATTCTCTTTTTTTAATCTGTGATCTCTGGGCCTCGCTGGTGGTACAAGGGGTTAAGACACAGCCTTTGCAGCATGAGTTTGGTCCCCAGCCAGGATCGTGGCACAGCAGACCTCTCCTGTCTCACCCACTGCTCCCCTCAGCAGTGTATCTCAGTCAGTCTGCCTGTTCTGCTCCCCACTCTGTGTCTGGTGGATCCTCTCACCTTCCCATCTCTGGCCTGTACCCCAGTTCTTGTGTGCATAAATAAATAAACCTTTTAAATATATATATATCATATATATATATATATGATCTCTACCTCTCTGGATGCTTCAGTTCTAACTTCAGCTTTCAAGGGTTAGTTTTTAAGCTTTTCTTTAATCCACTTTTTGTATGGTTTCTCTATTCCACATATAAGTGACATCATCTGGTGTTTGTCCTTCTCGTTCTGACTTATTTCACTTTAATAATCCCTTCCAGATTCATTCATGTTGCCATAAATACATGAATTTATCTATTTTGATCACTGAATAATATACCATTGTGTGTATACACCACATCTTCCTGAGCCACTCATCGATTGGGGGGCACTTAGGTTGTTTCCATGTCTTGGCTATTGAAAGTAATGCTGTAATGAACATGGGATTGTAGGTGTCCTTTTAAATTAGTGTTTTTGAATTCTTCAGGTAGATACCTAGAAGTGGAACTGTGGTATCACTCATGAGTCACCTTCTTCAGAAAGTCTTCCTGGATTATTGTATTTTAGATCAATCCCTCCTCCTGAATCCACAATTAGATGGTGTTACTACAGATTATCTGAATGAAATATCTTTGTCCTCACTGCATGGAATCTTTCAGTGTATGTATGATTTGTTAACAATGGGTCACCAGCTTTATATAGCTTTCTGATGCCATGTAAGAATGACATGGTAGCAAGCAAATCCTTTTTATCTGAGAATGTTGGTAAATATCTCTCTGAAAGGTCTTATTCAAGAAGAGATTAATGTGTTGAATGAGTGTAGTCTATGCACTCAGACCTTAGCTTGAATTTTTACTCTATTACCTCCTACCCACCTGACTTTGACAAATTTCTGTATTATTGAATCACAATTCTGTATCTTTTCTTTTAAGATTTATTTATTCATGCATAAAAGAACCGGGGTAGAGGCCAGATGTGTGGGAGGGTGAGAGGATTCACCAGAGACAGAGTGAGGAACAGAACAGGCAGACTGACAAAATACACTGCTGAGGGGAGCAGCAGGCGAGACAGGAGAGGTCTGCCACACCTTGTATCTCCCAGGTCAGCTGGGATTGAACCCACACTGCAGAGGCTGCAGACAGCTTTACAGTGCTGCACTCAACCTCCTGCACCAGCAGGGAGACCCACAATTCCATATCTTTTAAATGGAAATTATAGTATCTGTAAAGCTGAGATAATATAATTAAATAATTTAATGCATTTAGGAAAGTATTAAGTATTGATTAGAACCCAATAATTAAGAGTTCACATTACATAGAAAGGTCATATACAAGTGCTTCAGTAGGAGGTATAGCATTGCTTGTATCTGTCCCTCATCAACAAATCACTCCATGTGTGGAATTCAATGAACTTCCCACTTAGAGCCTTTGTATCACACCAGACATATGAGCAAATATATTGAGCCACTTTTTACCCCCAGGCTTTTTTCTCTTTAAGTTATAGACCTTTTTATTATTATTATTTTTTTATCCATACTCATATACACATTTTGTGATTTTACCCCATAATTCCTAATAGGACATAATTAGTATACTTGTAATAAAGTAATATGTATAAAACTCAGCTTTCTTGTATAGTAGATGGTATAGTCTACCGTTTTCTGAGTTATCACCAAAACATATGGAATGTTATTTAAGGCAGTGAAAAAAAAACAAACAGATGAAAGTTCAGGAATGTGTAGTACTTGGCAAGGATCTTCCAAATTATTAGTATTTACTGATATGTTTGGAGGAGGACAGGAGCTGGTTCTTTCTTCTTCACAGGTTATCCTCTAGTGCGTAGTAAGAACTCAATAAATATTTGTTGGAGAAGTTAACAATATTCTATATTCTCATGGTCCATAGGTACAATCCCATGTCCCACTCCCACACAGAAGTGCAAGAAACATTTTTTTTCTACATTACAAATTTGGGCTTACACCTGTCTTAGACATGTCTCAAAGAAGATACTGTTTGCTATAACTTAATCAATGTGGGAGAGAGGATGTTGACTATACCTGCTACCATCACTACCAAATATCACTAAAACTTAAAAAAATCAGTGTCTCTAGATCTCTCTCTCACAAATTTCTCTTCCACCACAGTTCGTCAGTGCTCTAGTCCTTTGTATGTCTGCCATCCTCATTCCTATTTTCTTTCCACACTTATATTTTCTCATTTCTATCCTCTGTTTCTCTCACATTCTGTGGTTCTCTCACATGCTCACCGCACACACAGACCCACTCCCTGTACTCAAATACTCTGCTGGAGCCACCTCTCACACATTCATGCTATTGCCCCCTACTTATCCACTCACTGAAGCTCTGGGTTGGCTTTTGTTTTGTTTATCTGCCAAAGATTATAATACTATAAGCTCACTGGTAAATAATGAGTTATTTTCTTACTATTTGTTTCCCCTCCCCTGTATTTTTTCCAAGCATTTAAGAACTGTTTGTCATCTCTTCTTTTTTTTTTTTTTCCTCTTCTTTTTATGTAGCCATTAAAAAAAAATCTTTCAAATTTGGAAAACACTAGGCAGTACGAATGAATTAGGGAATTTTTGCTATGTCTCCCTATTGTTCACTGCATTTGCAGATTATAGTCACAA